ATTCAATTAACATATATCTGTTGAATACTTTTTATGTCTACACACTCTGCAAGAGACTTGGAATGCATCAGTGAACCAAAGACCTGTGTTTCTGTAGAGTACACATAGTATCTAAGTAAACTAGATTACAGGTTATATATGATGTCTATTTTGGAAGATGAAAATGTTGGTCAATGTGATAGCGCACATCTGTAATCTTAGCAGCTCAGGAAGCTGAAGAGGAAGATCCCAAGTTCAAGGCCAGCCACAGCATCTAAGTGAGGCTTTAAGCAAGCAACTTAGAAAGGCCTTGTCTCAAAATTAAAAAAAAAAAAAAAATTGAGGGGAATGGGGATATGGCTCAGTGGTTAAGCACCCCTGGGTTCAATCTCTGTACCAAAAAGTAAATAAAATACAATGACAACCAAAAAAATGATGGCCAAGATAAAGGGGATCAAAGGCTTTGGCAAATAAGTGAAAATGTTAAATTGGGTGTCCAAACAGCTTTTCTTATACCTGATTGCTTAGAGTTAATGAGTCGCAAAAGGATCCAAAATCTCATAAACTTGAACCCAATTTTAACTCAACTCCTCCATGCTATGTCTTCCATTTCCAAAAGTGGTTGTTGGGGGCCAAAATTTAGCTTTTCCTTTGAACCAGCTTTTCTATTGTGATGAGTAGCCCAGAACTACTTGTGGAGATAATTCTCAACTGGGGGGGGGGTGACTTTCCTCCCAAGGGATTTTGGGCAATGTCTAAAAATAGTGTTGGTGGTTGTGACTCTGGGGAAGTGCTACTGTGTCTAATGTGTAATGATCAGGGTTGCTATCAAACATCTTCAAATACAGAGGATAACTTCCCAAATGTCAGTAGTGCTGAGGGTGAGAGGAGTTTTCACCTCCTGCTAAATGATTTGAAATGGTTGCTATGTGGTTTCACATATAGTGTGTTGGTAACCTTTATTTCTGACCTTAGAATGAGCTTTACTGGACGGTAATGGGAGAATGAAGGGATCATTAAAATGTAAAGACATGAACCAACCCTTATGCACATGATGCCTACACATCCAGAACTTTCCAGATTGCTCTCCTGGACTCCTGCATCTGGATATTTATCTGATGCTAAACATAATTTTTTGACTTCTTGCAGGGAGAATTCCCAAATGATTGTCTATATCTCTTATTTTTCTTTCAAGTGTTTATTTAGAGTTTAAGCAATCACAGTCTCAGTATAGAAAGATCTCAGATACGGTATTGCAAAAAAAAAAAAAATTGCATTCAAAACATGTGTTGCACATATCCTGTAGGTTATCGAGGGCTTTGCTATTTAAATTTTTTTTTCTGGAAAATATATAGCCTGGCTTAAATTTCATGGCTTTTAAATAGAGCTTTATTATTTGTAGTGAATGGTTTTAAGAAAATAAAATAGAACGCTGTGTAATGACAACCTTAACCTATAAGCATTATGCAATGCTCTGATGGTGCATCAGGGAAATCTACGTGCATTCCCAAACACTGAGACCTTTGTACTGTGAAACCAAACAGTACTCTGAATTATTCCCTTCTGGATCTAGATCAGCAATCAGATTGCACTTAGTTTCAGGCTTTGAGGTCTCTTGGATCTGCAGAATGGCATTGATGGATTTGTGTGTGTCCTGGTGAGAATCAGCAACGGATGGATTCTCTGAACCAGACATTGAAATTCACTTGAACCTTACCAAGACTTAGCTTAAATCCATTCAAATTTATCTGTTTCATTTCCCCCCACCACCTTCCTTTCCTTCTCATTTCTTCTTCCTGTCTTCTCCCCTAATTCCTCTTGCTGACATTCTTCCTTTCTCATTTACTGGGGTCCTTTAGGAGTTTTTTTTTTGCAACATATTTCTATTAGCATTTGTGCTGTCCTTGTTGCTTGATATCTTGTAATTCTTCATACCTATTTATTTCTATACTTCTTGATCTGATTCATGTTTGATATGATTCATTTAAATTCAGTTGCATCAAATATCAATGAGGTTTTCAATATAAAGATCTTGTTTTCCATATAAAACTATATGTAATAAATATGAATATATTTAATGTTTGGATTGCAGAGAGAAATTTGCATTTCTTTAGTGAAAACCAAATTATGATAAATTTCATAGATTTCTATTTACCATCTCATTTTGAAATTTTCCAAGACTTCACTAATCATTAGTACAGTCTTTCTCAGAGTCTTTGTACAATAATACAAAAGCTTTCATTGTTTTTGATCAGTGTGTTTTTTCCAGGGCAAAATCACATTAAGATTAACATGGTACTGGGCATGGTGGCACACACCTGTAATCCCAGTGGCTCAGGAGGCTGAGATAGGAGGATCTTTCGTTCAAAGCCAGCCTCAGCAAAAGTGAGGTGCTAAGCAACTCAGTGAGACCCTGTCTCTAAATAAAATACAAAATAGGGCTGGGGATGTGGCTCTGTGGTTGAATGCCCCTGGGTTCAATCCCTGATAACCCCCCCCCAATAAAAAGATTAACATGGTGATAATTCTGTAAATAAATTTAATTTATAAGATAAAAAATTATACATTTTTTAAAAATCTTATTTTTATGTCAAGGATTTTATGAAGTCTAGCATGCAGGAACTATGTTTCATTATCTATGGACTGAATAAACATGTATGTTTATATAGATGCATGAACCTCCTATAATAATCCCATGTTCCAACAGTACTCTTCCCTGAGGCCCATGATCCTCAGATATGAACCAGTGTTACTGAGTTCCTTTTGCTAGTGAATTTCTTTCTTTTTCTAAATTTTTTATTTGTTTTAATTAGTTATACATGACAGTAGAATGCACTTATATACTTTGATATATCATACATAGATGGGATGTAATTTCTCATTTTTCTGAGTATTCATATTGTATAATCATATTGGTCATATAGTCACATATATACATAGAATAATAGTGTCTGTTTCATTCTACTATCTTTCTTATACCCACATCCCCTGCCTTCCCCTACTTTCACTTCCCTCTACCTAATCTAAGGTAATGCTATTCTTTTTTTTTTTTGCCTTTATACATGTACTTTTTTTTTGCATTACAATTCTTAATACACATATATACCACAATTTTTGTAATCTCTGTTTGTATATAAAGTATGTTGACACCCAATTCGTGTCTTCATACCTGTACTTTGGATAATGATGTCCATCACATTCCACCATCCTTGCTAATCCCCTGCCCCCTCCCTTTCCCTCCCACCCCTCTTCCCTATTTATAATTCATCTATTCCTCCCATTGCTAGTGAATTTTATTTACAGGATGTGATTGTGACACACCCTGATGTTGGTGGGCCCTAGGAAAGCCTGGGAGACCGTGAAATGTGTGAACTCATATTCTACGTGGTAGAACCCAGAATTTCTAGTTCTGAAAAAAAGCTATTGTGAAAAATAAATTTAAACTTGAAAGTTCAACTCTGATTGGAAGTTTGGGAAGTGCACTAAGAAGTGACCACAAAGGTTTTGTAACTCCAGAATAAAAGAGGAACAAATAAAACAACGGGTATGGCGAAGATTGCTCATGTCCTGTATAATGTTGTATAAAAATAAAGGGAGTAAGAAATGCCAGGACAAGGTTAGTGAGAAACGTGTAAGTGAAACATTCACGTACTCCCATGCCAAAAAAGGGAAATATTGCAAGGTAATAATAAAATCGTGTTGCTTTGCTTGAGCTCAAACATTTCAATTAGAAGGAAATGGTAGAGGAGGCATAGAAGATTTAGCATCAAATTTATGCTTGAATATTATTCTGCTGCCTTGCTTTGTCATAGCTTTTGGTCTTTGAGCTAGTTATCTAATCTTTTCTGAGGTTTGGTTTTTTTTGTGGGTTTTTTTGGGGGGTGGGGTGGGGGAGGAAGTTTCCTCTCTAGCCTGATAAGGATCAGTGAAGATAATAACCATCAAATGTTAGATTCATTAAATACATTGTAGGAAAAAAAAAAGACCACCTTCTATTTATCAGATTTATTCAATTGCCTGCAGTAGATCCTTCATATCCCACCAGTTTCATGGGTTAAACCAACCACTTGTCAAAAATATTCAGAAAAAAATATTTGCATCTGTACTGAACATGAACAGTGTTTTTTCTTTATTTCCTAAACAACAGATTTAACAACTATTTACATGATGTTTACATGATATTAGGTTTTATAAATAATCAAGAGATGATTTACAGAATACAGGAGGATGGGCAAAATTATATGCAAATACTACACCATTTACATAGGGAGTTAGGTGCTTGCAGATTTTGTTGTCTGCGGGGTGAGGGTGAGGGTCCTGGAACCAATACTCCATATTGAGAGATGACTACAGTTGTCACCAAGCCACATTCTATTACAGTTCTTTTATCTTTTGTTTGTCTGTTTGTGTGTTGCAGTGCTCAGGGTGAACCCATGGCTTTGTACATGCTAGACAAGTGCTCTCCCACTGAGCTACCCTCCCAGCCCTACATAGTTTCATAGTAACAAAACTCGAGAACATTTTAATTGCTGGGCATATCCTGAAGGATAACTCATTATTAACCTGAACCCAAGTTCAGAAAAGATCTGTGTCTGAAACTGATCTTGTACCAATGAGGAAAAAAGAGATTTCACATCAATGTGTTTTCCAAAAATAAGTATTTCCTTGAACTTGACCACTGATGGGCCCTTTTTGTGTCATTAGTAACAGTGGCAGTATTTTAACCTTAGTTTCTTTATTTTAAAAACAAATTTATAAAACTTGCTCTGTCTACCTTACAAAGTCACTGTAAGGATGGAATAAGATAATGTTAGTAAAAGTTCATTGTGAACTGAAATGTACCAAATATGTGTGAAGAGTTTCTGTCATTGGCATAGATTGATCAACCACTTTTGCCACTCTAAGCGGAACCAGTTGCTCAGTCTCTCATCCAGCAGAGAATTTCAACAGATGTCAATTATATATATATATCTTATGATCTCTTTCTCTTTCCTTTTTTTTTTTTTTCCTTTCATGCACAGTTTGGAGTTGAAGTGGTCTCATATTGAATGGTCACAAACTGAATATGAGGTCTGTGAGAATGTGGGCATGTTGTCCTTAGAAGTTACCAGAAGGGGATATTCCATGGACTCAGCCTTTGTGGGAGTAAAGGTAACAACACTGAAATGCACATTGTCAAAGTTAAAACTTATTAGTTGGTGCCTTTGATGATTTTCTTAGCAAAATTTAGAGTTCCCGAGAAAATTTCAAACTGCAGGGTGTGACACTATTCTGTATATTCTAAGTGCAAATTTTCCTTGTCTCCCCACCTTCATCTAGGTTCACCAGCTCCTAGATAGAGGTGTTCATTTTATGATGCAAGGGTTTGAACCTGGGACTACACACATACTGGGCAAGCACTGTACCACTGAGCTACATTTCAACTACTGGATAGAGTTTTTCAAAACACATGTTTACTTCTGAAATCAGATCATTATTTTCTATATACTCTTCAAGGTTTTTTTAAAATATTTATTTTTTAGTTTTAGGAGGACACAACATCTTTATTATATTTTTATGTGGTGCCGAGAATCGAACCCAATGCCTCACGCCTGCTAGGCAAACGCGCTACCACTTGAGCCACATCCTCAGCCCTACTCTTCAAGTTTTAAAGTTTGATTTCACAGTGGGTTGTATTGAACTTAGTGAAACTAGACTCAATTCTGCTTTGAAAAGAAAAGTCATAGAGAATGCATTCTGTGGTATGCCCAGAGCAAAGTTCAGTCCCCTAATGGCCATCTCCCAGTATGCGACAGGATTGCTTTCCATGGTCACAGTGGGTGAGTCAAACAGGAAACTTAAGCCCATTTTAAGGGCTAGCCAATCACGAAAAATTAGGAGAGCATATATTAATATGGGTGCCCCCAAATATGAAGAATTTTCAGGTAATAGCTTTTGGATTCATCAACCTGCTATTTCTTTCCATTGACATCAACATAGAGCACAGTCTCTGGTTTCTAGAACTGAAAGGTTTTTAGGAGTCATCATAGCAATAGCCCATCAAGACAAGGTGAGCATGAAAAGAAAGTACACAGCGTTGATGGGAAGACTCCTCAGTCTGATAGAAAAAGCACTGATACCATCCCCTGGGGGAAAAAGGGCATCAGTTGAATCTCAATTATAATAGCAAAGGCAGATAACCTTAGGACAGGGTGCACCTCAAACTGCCTAAGTCCAGACTCAGTGTTCTCTTTCCAGTGAACACAGGTGCTTTCTTTTCGAGGCATGTTGGTAGCTTATTGCTATTAAACCAGTGGAACACTTGGTGTGCCCTGTAATTTTCCAGGAGATGACTTAAGGCAAAGGAAAGAAGGTACCTGGATGGCTTTCTAATAATCCCCTGGTCCTCCATAGAAAATACCATATTCTCTAGTCTGGAGTTTTGGGCCACTCTGCCACTCACCTTGCCAGGTAGAAAGAACCTACATAGGCCTTATGTATACTTAAGTGAAGGAGCACCAGGATCCTGCCAGCGGAGTGTGCAGGCCTCCATCAAACACGGTCCTTGAGTCTTCAGGGACTATTTCATTCAGAGAGCGACCTGCCACCTTACACAAAAGCTTGATGCTCACATGACCAGGAACAGAGAAAGAGGAGATACTTTTACCCCATGCTGTTTTCCCTCATTTGAATCACCTGGCTCATTTCTCTAAACACCTTGCCTCAGACCACTGCTTCTCTCAGGATTCTGTAAACTCAGTGGTGGTAAATACTAGGTAATTGCACGCGCAAGAACCATGCAGGGAAATATCACTTCCAGCATATGGCGGATACAGGTGTACAATGGGCTGCCTTTTCCTAATGAAAGGAGGTTCAGGGGGAGCCTTGGCATTGTGGACAAAGAGCAAATGGAAGTCTAGGAGGTGCTACTCTTCTTCAGCAAAATATTTCTACTGCAGACCCATTAATATGTGTTGGGGCCTTTGATTTGAAATAGAGACATTGTCTGAGGTCATACAGATAGGAAATTTAAAGTTTTAAAATATGCACTCACTTCATTCCTTTGTAAAAAAGACATGAAAATATATTAATTCACTTTCTTAACCATCTTCAACATCTCAAAAATCCACAGAAATAACAAACACCTCCTATGCTTACACAGGATCTTGTTCAAGGAGTTCTTTTTCAAATCAGCTGATGACACCTCTTAACACATATTTAGGCACCCTCTGGGGGGAATTTAAGCCCAAGACTTCAGAGCCCTAAAATCAACTGCTTGGTTTCTCATACTGGAGTTGGTGAAGCAGGGACACAGTCAAAAGTCTGTTTAGGGCAGTTTTTCTTTTTTATGACTTACTGGTTGGAGTCCTCTAATGACAAGGGGTCTGGGTGTGGATTGCCTTTACACAGCTCTCTGCCAGGTCTGTCCATCCCACAAAGCTCTCATTCATGTCCGTGAAGAGCAATGGCTTCATCCAGACCGGAAAATGGAGCAGACTTGTTCAAGTTAATCTGGTCTAAAGGTTTTCAGGGCCCTGGAGCCTGCAGATCCTTTACAGAGACTGCCAGGCCATCACACAGGTTGTTGGGAGTGTATACTCTCTTCTCACTTCTCTCTCCCCCTCTCCATTGAGGTTCTATTTTAAAACCAAGCTGGGGTAAAGGGAAGGTCATGAAATAAAACTGTGCTCATAACAAAGAGAAAAATGAAGTTTTAAAATCTATTCTGCTTTCCCAATGATTGAATCATTGGAAAAACAAAAAGTTAACTCTAAGAAAGATCCTTATAGCCTCTAAAATGGTTTATTAGAATTAAAAAAAACTGCTACTTATTATTAAAAGCAGATTTGGGAGCAGGAGTTTCGTTTAGTATTGAGAAGAATAAATGTTTCTCTATTACAGCATATTTATTTTTATTTTAAAAAGACATTTTTTTCCTCTTAAGGTCAATCAAGTGTCAGCTGCAGCTGGAAAAGATTTCACCGTGACTCCATCCAAACTGATTCAGTTTGACCCAGGTAGGTTTTGTATCTACAGCTTGTTTCATGTTTTGGTGAGCAAGTCTGCAGATGCCATTTGCAGATGACAGGCTATCATCAACCTCAACCAATCAGAAGCCCCTCAGGGAGCCAGATCACCCCACTCCAGACAAGAGGAGCTTGGGCCTGATATTCTACCCTCCTATTTTTTTTTATTGCAAGTTAATATGTATTTAAAATGAGAAGAAAGAGCATAACAAATATCAAATATCCAAGCAAACATCCAAAACCATCCAGAAAAAAAAATCATTTAAAAATGATTTAAAATCCTGGGACAAAGCTGTAATAATCTAACTGGCTCATATTGTGATGAAAATTTTTAGAATGTTGTATTTGCATGGATTCCTAAATCATCCCTTTCGAAATAGTTTGATCTGAGATGATTCCAGGGGAAATTATTATTTAGTTAAATAGCAGTGGCTTTGTTTTTGTGTGGTGTGGGGCTGGTGACATAGCTCAGTGGTAGAGTGCTTGCCTGGCATGTGCAAGGGCCTGAGTTCCATTTCCAGTGTTGGAAAAAAGCCTATCTCAGGTCTCAAGAATGTTATATTGTATGACACATAAACTTGAAAACAGTAATAGTTCATTGAGATTCAAAGGGTGAACCATTGTTCTGACTAAAGAAAATCCTGGGAGACTTCTCAGGGGAGGCAGCATTCTAGCAGGTAGATGGGGAAATGCCAGGTTGAAGAACGACCACAAAAGTACCCACACACGTTTGGGCACCCACACACCAAGGTTGGGCAGCATCCTTTCCCTCTGGCTTCTGTGGACGGGGCTAGGAGGTCTACCTCACTGCTCTGCATGCTTTTCTCTTCCCTTATGGAAATGGACCTGGGTCAGTTTCCAAGGGAAAAGCTTCAGGAAAGTGTTGTGCTTTTCTACAGAGGAGTTGTCCTGCAACTCTGAGAGAAGAGTTGACCTAGTCCAAACGCCTGACGCTGTCCACCACTAACACATCAAGTTTTGTGCAAAGGCAAAAGAAAATGGCCTAAATACCATCAGTGCCCCCTAAACTGACCATCATTATACAATGAGGGAAAGCCACTCTGCAGGTCATCCTAAATAGTATGGCATTTGACAATTGTGCTGGTTTCCCAGGGCTGCCTGTCACAAAGTATCACCAACAGGGTAGCTGAGAAAATACATGTTGATGGTTTTACAGTTCTGGAGACTACGAGTCCAAGATCAAGATGTTGGCAGAGATGATTTCTTCTGAGGGCTGGGAGGGAGAAGATATCTTTGCCTGTCTTTCATGCTTCAAACAGTTTCCTGACAGTCTTTGGTGTTCCTCGGTTTCTGCTGTATCACCTCAGTCTCTGTCTTTTTTTTTAAAAAAATACATTTTTAGTTGTAGGTGGACACAATACCTTTATTTTATTTTTATGTAGTGCTGAGGATCGAACCCAGTGCCTCACTCATGCTAGGTGAGTGCTCTACCACTGAGCCCCAGCCCCAGCCCCTCAGTCTCTGTCTTCATCTTCACATGGTGTTCTCTGGGTGCATGTCTGTGGACAAAATTTCCCTTTTTTTTTTTTTTATAAGGCCATAAGTCATAATGGGTTAGGGACCCACTCTATGCCAGTAGGACCTCATATTAACTAATTTCACCTGCCATGACCCCATTTAAACAACAGGCAACAGACTTGTCTGCTGAGGTCACATTCTGAGGTGCTGGATGTGAGGATTTGGGCATATAAATTTTTGAGGGACACAATTCAGCATGACACAGGAGCCTTCAGTTGACAGGCAGGAACCCAAGTGTTATTATTTTCCTCCTTCCTGTAAATTTAGCTTTCTGACCTAGGAGGTCAGGAAGCTCTACTCTTGTTATGTGTTTGGGGTTTGCCCCTAGGTTTCTGTAGGCTCTTCTGTCCGAGGCAACTGTAATATGAAAAGGTTTGATACATTTGTATTCTGTGCCTCCTCATCTCCCACATTATTATTATTATTAGTAGTAGTACCAGGGATTTTACCTGGGGCACTTATCAACTGAAGTATGTCCGCAGCCCTATTAATTTTTTATTTTGAGACAGAGTTTCATTAAGTTGTTTAGGGCCTTGCTAAATTGCTGAGGCTGGCCTTGAACTTGTGATCCTCCTGTCTCAGCCTCCTGAGCCACTGGGATTACAGGGCCCTGTGCCCAGCCGCATTCTCCCTTTTGTCTTTCATACGAGGGCACTTTCAGCCTTGAGAGTCAAGAGTCTTTGCCGTATGCCCTGTTTATGATTGATGTCTGGTTGTTACAAGATCAGGAGTGATTTTGGCTTCCATTAGTTTTGAGCAGCCCACCAGGTGCTCTGTTTGGATTGATAGGAACTAGAACGTATCACACTAGGGCAGCTCTGAAATTTACCTCTTAGAGATTTCATTGGATAAGATAAATACCTATTTGTCTAGAAGAGTTCACATGCTGTTTTGAGTAGACAGTAATGACTTCTGGGGGCTCTGAATAGTCTTATGATTTTAGAAATTATTTAAAAATTTAAAAACAACATAAACATATCTTATAAATTAAAAAAAAAACCCACATGCTTGACTCTTTGCTGTTKGGGATTTTATGAAGTCAGAAATAGTCATGAAACTCCCCATGCCCACCAGTCAGTCCAGGGATGTGCTCCTGTGTTGTTAATCCTCGACTCTTTCGGGTCTGGTGTTTCAAGCCCTTGTCCCCAGAGCAAACCAATTCATTTTTCTAAAAATAACAGGTACCTTGATCTGAGGGGGAGAGGACACATGCAATCAAGAATGGCGGGGTAGTGTAAGGTTGAAAAATTCTAACTACTTTGCATTTCAGCTATTGTGACTAATCTAGAGTGGATGTGTAAATAGTCTTAAGAAAATGATTGTTTTCCTTTAAAATGTGTGTTCTTGAAAGGTTTGCTAAATTCTTAATTGAAACTTCATCATTCCTGAGAGTCAAAATGTTTCCCAAAGGAACAAATCTATAATGTGGCATTTATTGAAAAAAAAAAAAGAAGAAAGAAAGAAAGAGAAAGAAAAAATGTCTTCCAGTAGAGAGGAGAATATCCAGGAGTTCCTACTCAGTAAAGTGGGACGTGTCTGTATACAATGACACCTTCTCTATCCTCTTCAGCACCTTTTGTTTTGTGGAAACTGAGAGGAGATCAGGTCAAGCCTTCTGAAAATGCAGGTGTATATCAGAGACTTAACAAATACTTTGCACCTTGACAGGGGAAGAGGAAAGGGAAACAACAACAATGAAGTTTACTTCCAATCTCATTAACCTAAATAAGAAGGTCCCCTGCACACACCTGGTAGGCACAGAGACAAAGCTGAAATACAGACAAACAAATCAGAAGCACTTAAATGAAACTCAGCATGGACTTTCTCCAACCACCTGGTTCTACTCCACAAAGCCCAACAAAAACTTTTGAGTTTCTTTTCTAGGAGTGGGAATACTATAATTTTTACAAAATGATTCTTAAAATAAGAGGACAATTGATTGAGACTTGGAAATATTTTTACCGGATTTTTATTTAAATAATGCTTAACTTTATGGGGCTTGAGGGTCAAAACAATTCTGTGAATACTGAAGATCTTAGTATCCATATGCTTTTTTTACTGTCCAACTCTGATCTTTTCATGCCCATTTTATTGCAATGGCTGCCTTGGGTGGTCTCCCAAATTTCAGCCTCTTCGTCTACCTGCTTTGATGCCCAAACCTTCACAGGTAACATTTTCAAGTTCATTTTGTTAAACCATCCACTCACAGAATGTCAACTGTCTGCGTGAGACAAGTCTGTTGCCTGTTGTTTAAAGTTTGCATCTGGCCCCCTGGGGTCCAGGGCTCTCTGCACCTGGCCACAGACTATCTCTGCAGCTTTGTGGCCTCTTGTTCACCCATGTGAGCTCTGCCTTTCAGACGGTTATCTCTTCACCCTTCCCTCATCAAGGCTTCAACTTTACTAACTTTCTGCAGTTGTTGATGTTGTTTTCCTGTTTCCTCCCTCCAAATCCTTCCAACTGTGGATGGCATATATATAAATCTATGCCACCTATTCTGTATCTTTTGGCAGCTAAACATACATAGCTTTGATTAGTTATTTGACTTTTCTGGTACAATTGGTCCTGTGTAGGTACAGGTTCTTCATCCACCTATTCAACCAACCACAGATAAAAATTATTGAAAAACATTACATCTGTACTGCACATACACAGACTTTTATGTTTTGATTCCCTAAGCCATACTGTATAATGACTATTTACATGGAATTTACGTTGTGTTGGGTATTATAAGCAATCTAGAGATGATTTAGAGTATACAAGAGGATATATATAGGCTATGTCTAAGTACTATGCCAGTTTATGTAAGTAACTAGAGTGTTTGCTGCACATTTTGGTGTCTGAGGAGGATCTTGGAGCTGATCCTTTGTGGATGCTCATGGACATAATTGTCTTGTGTCTTCTGAGAAGTTTTAAATTCCTTTAGGTTAGAGTTTGGCTTATGTTATACTTCTGGTATTCTCCATAGCATCTAATGCAAAAGTAAGCACTTAAGTATAAAAATGTATATTTTGGTGGATTGATTCATCCATCCACAAGATGGGAATTATATAGTATTTTGTATTAGGTGCATCAACTTCTGTTTTTGTAAAGACTGCAAATATAATTGACTTAAGAATATAGTCAATAACTGAAAGTTTAATAAATTAGCTGTAAGTCTAATTTTTTAAAATAAAATTATTCCAACTACACCTAATTTTCCCCTGTAAGTGCAGCCAAGAATAGGATAAGTGAACAGTTTCATCTTTCCTTGGATTCTGTTGAGGATTAATGAGACTTTGATTAGGTCATGAGATCTACATAAAACATACTTTCAAGAAAGGGGCTGTCATGTAGATGACACAATCGAGAGGCATAAATCATAGAAGGCAATCTGAAGCAAAAAAAAGAGTCGTACTTTTAGAAGAGAAGGCTAGGAAATGTTTAACGGCCTTATACAGAAAGATTTATGGGAGCAAAAGCATTCAAATGGGCCACGAGTACATGGCAGAGAGAGCTTTTCAAATTTAACCCTATGAGTTAAACCATAAGCTTGAGCCTACTTTCTCCACTAAACAGCATTCTCTACTTCCTGCCTCCACTTTCTCTTCTAAATAAACTCAGGAAGATGTCCTGCAATCCACATCGTGAAAACTGTTCCAGATTAGACAATCTCTAAAGCTTCTCCAACTTCATATTTTGTGTCTCTGGGGTTGCTTTACCTCCTATCCTCAGGGTGAGAAGATGGCTGGGATATATTGGTAACATCAAAACTGTCTTGTTAAGTTTACAAAGTTACAAGCTCAGCTATAACTCCATGAATACAGAGGGACAGGAGGAGGGAAATACGTGGGCTCCTCAGTCTGTTTCTGGAATCCCCAGCCTGTAAATTCTCTCTAGGAGGATATCAAACTGCTGGGTATTACATCATCAGAAAAAGCATTTGTGGGCTGGAAGGATCACAGGAAGTAGAGCAACTGATGCGGGCAGCTGTCTGTAGAAATCCATCATTTCAAGAGTTCCATGAATGGCATGAAGTACCATCCAATAATCACTTCTGTCTGCATCAACACCTTGAGATTTTTGAAAGATTATAGAACTTGTTTATTCTTGAGAAGGGACAGGTTGGGGGGGGAAATTACATCTTGGATCTCATCTACTAGCCATTTTTTTTTTCATCACTTGCATAGTGCGGCTTACTTTTTTGTTACAGTGTTTGCATTGAAACCGAATCATCATTGTCCAGGAACAAATGTGGTCTTTTCATAGTACTGGGGAGAACAGCAGGGCTTCAGCGAGTTGGTGGCAACACAATAGCTCACTCAGGCTACTGCAGTCTAGCTGTAGACATGTTAATTAATATATTTCTCTGACACCTAGGTGATTGAAATAGCAATTAAAGAGTAATTAAAATGTTTACTTCTTGTAGGAATGTCAACTAAGATGTGGAATATAGCAATTACCTATGACGGATTAGAGGAAGATGATGAGGTCTTTGAAGTAATTCTGAACTCCCCTGTGAATGCAGTTCTTGGCACGAAGACAAAAGCTGCAGTGAAAATTTTGGACTCAAAAGGAGGTATTCTTTTGATCCTCATTTTGAAATCAGGAGCGGTCCTGGCGCCATGGCTGCTTGCTTTCAACAGCCAACATGCTTGATAACACCTTCAAATCAGAATGCTTAATTTCTTGTCAAGAAAGCAGCCTCCGTCATGATGCAGGCCTTTTATGCTAGTTTCTGCTTCATGTGGTTTTCCTCCTGCTAAGAACTATCGCTTGAGAAAAGCAACAAGTCAGCACCGTGGTTGTTTTTTTTCCTAACCGTTTGTTGTTCTCACCGAGGGGGAAACAATGTTGGTGAGAATCTATCGACAATTATTTTCCCCCAGAGTTTGAAGGGCTGTAATTATCTTCCTCGGTTAAAGAGAGCTCTCAAAGCCCCAAACCCGAGCTCCCACTGCAGTGTGACCAGGAAAATTCTAAGAAGGGAAGGAATTGGAGCAAAATAGATGCGAAGATGCAGCTGGCTCRGGGATTCAGAAGCAGCTGGAGAATATTAATGAATAACTTTGGGTTACAGAGCCAAGCAGGTCCTGGGTAGTATACACTAAAGAACAACCTGTGAACCAAATAAAACGAAGAGCAGTAAATGTTTTTGGTGCTCTGATTTTTTTTTCTTCCAAAATCCCTTCTAGTGTCTTGTCTGTTTAGTATTTGACAAGTGTCCAGTACTAGACACCATCCCATGCCCCGCTTTCACACCTGCCATGCTCTGTGGTCTGTATTTTATTTTTTAAACCTGGAATCTACTGTCTCCTTTTTCTTTTCTCCTCATACTAAAATGGGCACTATCTTCTTTCCTAATAATAGCCATGTTTTCTCAGCATCTCTGCCTTCCACCTATCTCCTCACCAAATTTATTTTCCAGTAGAATTTCCTGGTTACATTAACTACACAACATATATGAATTAAACATTTTTATATGAAATAGAAAGTACCTTGGGCTAGGGGTGTAGCTCAGTGGTACAGTGCTTGCCCAGCATGTGGGAGGGCCTGGGTTTGACCCCAGCACTTCAAAATATAATATAAACAAAACAAGCAAAATACCCAGGTGAGGGTTCTGGTCTTAGATTTTTTTTTTCATATTCTCCCAGGAATACTAATTGGAAGATTTCTTATAGAAGCAGCTCTGATAAGATTGACTAAGTTTTTGTTTTGTAATAGTTGAATGCAAATTTTTATGACTATTACTTGAATACAGGACTCTTTCAGCAATTCCAGTTTCTACCTGTAAGAGATCAGGGAAAAACTGAACTCTGCTTGTGGAAAAATACTTGATCAGGGAATAAGCCTGGAATGTTGAGAAGAACTGTGGGAGGAAGCAGAATGAGACTATTTCCCAAGTGTACAGAATGACCATAAAACCATGACAAAGATTTTCATTTCTGATTTGTGAAATCAATTTCACGACTTCATAATCACCCCACAGGTGTGCAGAAGGGCACTGCTTTCCTGGGTGGAAACTGATGGAGAGTAAAGGCGTTTCTGGCAAATGGCAAAAAGGCAACATCTGGTGGGAAATCCATCCATCTAAGTTTAATGACAGGCTGCTCCAGGAGCTGTGTCAATGTGATCGCTTATCTGTTTGTGTAAAGTGTACTGACCGCCTGCCATCTTGCATGCCTCCAGGACAATGCCATCCTTCATACTCCTCCAACCAAAGCAAGCCCAACACATGGGAGAAGGGCATTTGGCGCCCGTTGCATCCAGGGTCTCCCTCGCCCACCACTTCTGGTTCCCTTCATCTGGAAAGAAGACCCCCTCCATCTTCCAAGCAGCTGGCGACCACCAGGGGAGACTCCCTACAGGGCTTTGACTCCACAGCTCTTTCTCAGAGGAAGCTGAGRACCCACTGGAACGGCAAAGCAGTAAGGATGGGGACCTTGTGGGAGTGGATGTGTGTGATACATGCTAATAAGCATTCTGAAACACCGAAGAAGCTGTACGGATTCTCGGAGTGAGTGGGAACCATGATTTCTTGCAGAGTCATGTGGTGCCTTTTATATGCAAAAGTCACAATACCACCTCATTTTGTTAATTATTCTAATTGAGGTGATAGATCCATTGATTCATCCATACATTAATTCATCATGATTTCTGCTTTGGTTCCTTTTGTGATGGAAACAGAAAATAACCAGGGACCCTAGAACAAAAAGAGATGAAGGGATACACTTGAGTGTGGAAGCCATGACTTTGACCTTATCGGCACAGCATTCTAACTAGCCACACTCTTGAGAGTGTGTATGTGTGTCTTCTTTGTGTGCTACAGATGTGTTAAAAAATAAAGTTATCTTTTCTCCCTGAGACATATATCCATGAATCAACACAATTATCAGTTGTGGTTTAGACCTAATACCTTTTAAAATTCTAATGATTGGGCTGGGGCTGTAGCTTAGTAGAGCACTTGCCTAGCACATGTGAGGCAGTGGGTTCAATCCTCAGCACCACATAAAAATAAATAAATAAAATAAAGGTGTTGTGTCCATCTACAACTAAAAATATTTTTAAATAAAATTCCAGTGATTGGGCATGAAAAAAACTTAGTTATCAGGCTTTTAAAACGTTTGAACATTAATATCTTACTGGAAGGGTTTTACTCTATTGCTTATCACTATTCAAGCCAATTTTGTTCATGTTGTCCTTTGTGATTTCAGGTTCATCCATCTTCTGTTTATAGAAACAGAACAGACATCATCTATAATGTAAGCATAGTCAGAGAATTGCTAAATTTCTTATATTTATAGATGTAAAATATTTATGAAACTATTATTTATGTATTTATTAAAAAATTTTACTTTGAAATTTGTCTTAGAAGATTGAATAGTAGGAAAAAATTTTTTTACTTGGAAACAATTTTTGAACTTATTCATTTTTATAACAAAATTTTGTATTTACTATCTTAGCGTTTTCTTTATTGTTACTTTTTGCTCTCCTCAAGTATCATGGGATAGCTTCCTTGAAACTGGAAGATGACAGTGCCCCACCTCCCCAAAGGAAGGCCAAAGTATCCATTATTAGTCAGCCACAAAAGACAATGAAAGTGGCAGAGCTGCCTGCAGTAGATAAGGTGGAATCCACAACTGACTCTCACTTCCCCAGACAGGTAGGAAAATCTTTTTTTCTTCCTATTGACTTTATAACAAACTGGAATGGCAAAGCAGTAAAATATTATCCAAACAATGCAATTAACCTAATGTGCTCCACAGCTGGAAATTGAGACTAGAGGGATACCTGGTTAATATTGATCAGATCTTATTGTTCACCAAATTTTAACAACAAACACACTTAATTCACAAAATAGCCTCCAAGCTTGGAGATCCTATACTCAACACAAACAGCTACCCAACAAATGAAGATCCAAAGGAGGTAAGTGTGTTATCAACTTACATGAAGACAATTCCAAATTGCCTTTTCTTCCCTTAGGACCAGTTGCCCTTATTTCCAAAGAATTGCACAATGGAATTAAAGGGACTCTTCCATTTTGAAGAAAGCACCCAAAAGCTGTATGGATGCAATGGGATTGCCTGGAAATCCTGGAGCCCCCAAACCAAGGTGGGAAACAGGCTGAACTGACAAGCGCCTTTACCTGCAGTGTGCCCTGTGATGGGCTAGTAGAATGGTCTGGTGTGTGACTACCCACCATGCTTTCCTGCCTGTCCTTATTACACCTAAAGGGTCAAGAGGAATAATGCCCCTAAGTGTTTGTTTATTTTTTTTTATCACAAAATACATTATTAAACAGAGATGACTTTAAAAGATGTTTACTTATTTTGTTTAGTTAACCAGAATGTCCAAGGTGTAACACTGAAACTTTGCTTACAGTGGTAGTGTTTTCTATATGAAGCCATTGCATTTTTCAATATGACGAGTGGAATTAGGGTGACTGTGGTGATGACATTGGAGTCAAGTGATTCATACAACTCCTTATGTTGAGAGCAGACTCTAGACTGTAAAGTCCCTTGTTGTGTGAACACAGACAACTATTTTTCAGGAAGTGGAAGACAAATCTTGTCCAGTTGGATGGCACCTTCATTCAGGCTACTGTCACACCTTGATCCCAAAGCAGAAAGGCACCTGGACCATGGCTACCCRAGCTTGCAGGGAACAGTAAGGAACCCTCTTTCACATTTGACTGATCCTCTCTTGCATAATTTCTCTGTTTTCTCATGGAATTGCAAGTCAGATTCATTCTTTCAACAGTACTCTCTCATATCTKCCTGGCTTTGTTTGAGGAGCCTGGAGGAGCTTGTAGTTTAGAATGAATTTGTGATTAACCTTAATAATGTATATATTTCTTCCTTTTCTCTGTCTTAGTCTTTTTGAGAAAGTCACAGGAACTTTTCTGAGTCAGCAGCATTTTAAGTTCTGGTACCTTTTTTTTTTTTTTTTTTTTCTTTTTTCTTTATGTGCTAGGAATTCCTGCCCCTTGATTTGAAAATACTTGATTTGAAATAGTAATGAAAGGCCTCCTTACAGCATCAGGCTTCTGACAATAAGTACTGATGCTTATAAAGCCAAACTAGATGAAGGCTCACTGGGAAATAGAGCATTTAGTGAAGGAAGACTCACGTCAGATAATGACAACAAAACTTATCTAGTCCAGAAGGACTTTTAAAATGTATATGCAACCATCCCTGACCCTCCTTTTTACTTGCCAACCTAGATATTATCCAAACAATGCAATTAACCTAATGTGCTCTACAGCTGGAAATTGAGACTAGAGGGATACCTGGTTAATATTGATCAGATCTTATTCTTCACCAAATTTTAAAAGTTAGGCTTGTCCAAAGACACCATTAAGACAAGGGCCTCACACATGACTTAGAGACTGAACAGGAAACTGGAAGATGGTTCATAAGTAAATTAAAAGGTCCTCAGTGCCACTAGATATCTGTAAATGAAAATTCAAACCACAGTGAAATATCATTTCATACTTGCTAAAAAGGTCAAATCATAAAGATGACAACATCAAGTGCTAAAGAGGGCACAGAGCAATTATTTCTCATGTATTGTTGATGGAAGTATACAGTGGTGCATCTACTTTGTAGAAATGTCTGAAAGTTTTTTACAAAGCTATGTACCCTATACCTGGCAATTCTACTCCTAGGTATTAAAACAAGAGAAATAAAAACATATGCTAAGAAATATGAAAGGATTTCATAATAATTATTCATAGTAATAATAATTGGGCCATTTGTCTTCTTGATATTGATTTGTAGAAGTGCTTGATATTTTCTCCATTGACAAGAGAATAAATTTTTCTATAATTTCTTTAAGCAATGAAATGCTGTAACTTCTAACTATGTGGTTGAATTATTGATAAATCAAAAACCAGATATAGAGAAAACAGCCTTGTGCAGCAAAATACATGTTGTATATTTCCATTTATTTGAATAGGAAAATCTAATTAATCTTGCTATTAACAAATGATCATCGCTGGCAGGGATTGTGAGTTGAGCACAAAGTAATATTCTAGAGTGATGGAAGGTTCTATGTCTTATTCTGGATAATTGTTGCATGGATGGATAAGGAGAAGATTGCAAAAAGCTGCCAAAGGGAGAATTACAGTTTCTTTATTGAGGAAATGAAGGCAAATGTAACTGTACTTCAGTCAAGGTTATGAAGATTAAGTCATTGCAAGGATTTTCTGGTAATATGTAGATAGACAGGCCTGGAGTTGCGGCTCAGTGGTAGAATGCTTGCCTTACATGTGTGAGGCACTGGGTTCGATTCTCAGCACTGCATATAAATAAATGAATAAAATAAAGTTTCCATCAACAACTAAAAAAATATTTTAGAAAAGTGTAGATGGACAGGACTCCCCCTCACTCCCAACCCTGCCAACTTTGAGTTTGGAGGACCCTTTATTGGTCATCTTCCAATGGTTCTCAAAGGACAGTGCTGGTAACCACTGGTCTCCAGGGAAGCTTTTATTGGGTCTTAATATTGTGAGAAAATAAGGACAGCATGTGTTGAGAAATGTCTTCTCACCCATTCACAGGTGTTAATGTACGGTTGCCAATTATCTTTAATTAGAAAGACTATTCTTTATTCTGAGATGATGATCTTCTAGCTTTTTGGTTTTAAAAATCATTTTTATAAAATATTGGAAACTGACAGTAAAATTGTTGATGACTTCTTGTTGATACCCTAAAATTATTATCATCAGTCAGTTTAATTGCAACTAGCTTTTAATGGTGAGTAGCAACACTAATTACAGAGTTTCTTCACAGATCCATTAATATTGTACAATTCAATCTTACCAATAATAAACTTAAGGCCCAAATTAATTTAAAAGCCTTCCTACTTCCTCACATACTTGACCCAAGATTTCATCTGCAACTTGGTTTTAAGCATTGTCACCCATGACCTACACTAGCCTGACCCAGTTCTATGTGCCTTCTTGCCGATAACGCCTTACTTTTATGTCATGCTTTATATTTTACAGAATTCTTTCACCTGTATTAGCTTATTTGATCCTCCCATCACTTTTGTGAGGAAAGCAGGTATTATTAGCTACAGTTTACAGATTAAAATAAAAAAGTTTCAAGGAAGGAAAAACATTCATTTATGGTCATCTAAGTAAGTAAATGAAAGAGATAGGACTTACTTTTCCATTATAATCTCCAATTAGCTCCATCAGTACAGGGGATTTCYTATCTTTGTGTTGGGCTAACCAAAAGTTGGTTTTCAAAATTATGTGCTAGAACTTTTGTATCTCTCACAGCAAAGAACTATTAAGATTTTTATTAAATTATGATTTCCAAATTTTCTTTGGACTTAAATCAAGCTAACCTTTCAGGGCAAACCTAAGGTAAAATCAAGTTCTGAGTTTATAGATTCATTCATTCAACAGATGTTTATTGGGCATTTATTGAACTGGAAATGGCTAGATCAGGCCATACTTTGATGAGGTTGAGTTGGYCGGTTGTTTTTTGAAGTGCTGGAAACAGAATCTAGGGCCTCATACATGCTAGGCAAGTGATCTGACACTGAGCTAAACCTTTAGCACCARACCATATTTTTTTAAAGATTTTTTTAAGATGGATACAATATCTTTCCTTTATTTATTTATTATTATTTTTAGTTGTTGACAAACCTTTATTTTATTTATTTATATGTGGTGCTGAGACTCAAACCCAGTGCCTCCTCACACATGCCAGACAAGTGCCTTATAACTGAGCCACAGCCCCTACTTTATTTATTTTATTTCTTTACTTTATGTGGTGCTGAGGATYGAACCCAGTGCCTTGCATGTGCAAGGCAAGCACTGTACCGCTGAGCTATGACCCCAGCCCCAGACCATATTTTTTACAGTACTATTCTTTTGTATTGGCCCCACAATCCAATAACTAAATAATTCCTTATTCATCAAAGAAATAGACATAATAACTCTCCAGATCCAGCTGTCCTCTGTGGCAAGTCGAAAAATACTACATTTTACATCATTAATGTCATAATTTGGTCATTCCTTACCACATTCCCTTCCCTGTGAAGAATATGAAAAACACTGAATTTTAAAACAGTATTTAGTATTTATTGATCTGATGTCTTACTCTAGGTCCAATTAAGAAGCTCCCTGGACCTAAATGCAATAATATGAGCTGCAAGCAATATTTATTGATTACTTATTTTAGAAAATAAATGAGTTTAGAAATACTGGAAGCGGAAAAACATTTTGCTCTGGAATAACCCATTATGAAATCCATGATAATAGCTAAAGAATTCCCACCTCCCCTGCTAATCTATCTGAGTGTTCATAGCAAGCACATCCAACAGTATTTTTATAAGCAGATTCAGAACTACTATTACTCAAATTATTTTGGAATTATTTTGATAAACTCTAGTCTCAGGAAATAATTTTAAACTGTGACTTCTTTTTAGATATAAAACTGAAAAAAACTCTCAGAACAAGAGAAAAAATTTAAGGACACCTGGAGCTTTTACACCATAGTTTAGAAAAACAACTCATTATCAGTAAAATAAACTTTTTCAAATTATATATTACCTATCCCCCATATTGATTCAGAAACTAAAATATCTCTCAAATACCATTCCTGATGATATTCCAGGGTGTGTAAGGGAAGTAAAGAAAATACACGTGGTGTGGTATTTTTAAAACATCACTTAAAACKTCTAATCTTATACTTTTAATTGAAAGAATGGATGTAAAAACTGAGTGGATRTAAATATAAACCTTTCCATTGATTGCATTTGCATGATGCTTCAACATGCATTTATTTCAAAAGGACAAAAAGAATGACTACACTTATATGTACTAGTTACAGATATTTCAAAAATTGTCTACTAGCAGATTAAAAGTAAATAAAAATAAAAGATCATCATATTCCCTTGGATCAATCATTCCAGGAACAACATTTTTGGGTGGTAAGGCCACTTCCTCAGAATAAGTTTTTACTGAACCCCAAAGTCCCCTCCTCCCTTTCAGCATATTTTTGTTCATCCTTTGGGCACTCACGCTTCCCACCATTCATTACTTTCCTGGTTCATTGTATTTACTCTGTTGGCTTAGAAATGGGTACTCCTCTGGAATTGTCCGTTCCTTTTGGGTCAAAGTCACAGTTTAACATTTTATAACCTGGATATTTACATTCTTATTATGTATTTTAGAAAATGGTTTTATATTCTGYAATTAGGATTAGTATGCATATATTATGCTGAAGTCCTAGGGGCCATTATTCAATTCTGTTCTGGGGCTCCCTCACTAGTATATATTCTGGAAGATCTTTTACAGAGGGTCATTTATAATGCCTCTGTTTCAATAAGAACAGCACATTTTACTTCATCCCTTGTTCCTAATCAGATTAGTAGCTCAACTCAATCTTTATCTCCAATCTCTTTTCCTCCCCATTGGTATTTTATTATTTTTATAACCCAAAGGAGCCAGACTCCTGGATTAGGCATTTCTTGAATTTACATATTGTAATCTCATCTGCTCATTTCCTAAGGCAGTCACTGTACATTGGTAATTCTATTATTATAGATCATTATCTATGAAACCATTTTGTCTTCCCACAGGAGTGTCTGGAACCCCTGCTGGCTGATTCTTAAAGAATCCCCCTGAAATATACTGATACTTAATAAAAAACTTTAGAAGAAATAGATGTTCCTTCCTTCCTTCCTTCCTTCCTTCCTTCCTTCCTTCCTTTCTTCCTTTCTTTCTTTCGCTTTCCACATTTTATTGGTGCATTATGGTCTTACATATTGATGGGATTTGTTGTTATATATTTGTATGTGTGTACAATAAGGTGTTTATTTCTACAACCAGAAAAATTAGGCATTGTTTTTAATTTTGTACTTTGAATGCCTTCAAATTTCAGAGGTTCCAAAGGATTTTTATTTGTGTATGTGTGGCTATATGTTTCATTTTTATATCTACAATGCACATTTTTATAAGACAATATTCACAATATTTTATGGGTCTATGAGCAAAAATGAAAGGAATGGTATTTTTATAAAATAATCATCATGCAAATACACAAATATTTCTTTTGTATATAACTGCACTCTAGCACTTGACCAATCTGAAGTAAAGCTATTTTCCTATCTGGTTCTTTTATGGGATGTCCTGCTTTTTGGAGAATCAGATAGAAAACTGAAATTGTATTTAAGCAGCTAAAACATAACTTACAAAGTCTGTTTTAAAGATAGTTTCAGCAATCTTCAAGCTAGAGGAAAGCTGAATATACTTGAATAAACCCATTGCTTCCTGATGATGAAGTTGAGTGTGTGAGGTTGGTGAAATAAGGAAATTAGTTCAGTAAGGAAATCAGGGAGTTCAGTAAGGACCGAAGGGGTAGAAAAGGAAGTGGAGCCCTCATGTCCCTTGCTCTGTCCACTACACAATACTGGCTGAGGCAGCCACTCAAGCCCTCCCTTGGCCTACACCGAACAGAGTTTGATATTCTGTGTTCTAAGCCCACAGAACATTAGAATGACCATATTGGATGTGAGAAAAAGGGGAGGAAAGCTGCCCCATCCTACCTGCTGTAACTGTCAGACAGGAGCTGACAGTAAATAATGAGATCAGAACCAAGTCATAAAACCCAAATTCAGTATCTGAAGTCATTTGGTGGAAGGGCAAAGAGTCTTACATATTTCAGGGACCAGGAAGGCAACATTGCATTATAGAGCAGCAAAGCAATGATAGTAATGAGGAAAAATCAATAAGAAACAGACAAATTATGTTTAATGTATGTGGCAAAATTAGAGAAATAAATCTGAACTTTGGAAAAATGTATAAAATTTAGTTCAGTCRTCATCTAACCCTTATAAATGTTGCTAATTTTGTTTTCTACTTATTTTCATGTCAATGGATATTGACCAGGCCAGAAATCATGAAGATTTTTTTGTTTGATTTTTCAAGTTTTTAAACATTTTAAAAAAACTTATTCCTTTTAATTTTAATTGACAAATTATCATGTATATTTATGGGGCACAATGTGATGTTATGATACATGTATACATTGTGGATTTGTATTCTAAAACTTTTTTTTTTTTTAAGAAAAGATGTAACCTATTGTCTTTATAGTAAAGCATCTTAAAAGAGCTTTTAATAAGAACTGCTGGGGAGTTAGGCACAATCAAATATTCCTTATTGTATAATTCAACTGTTTGCAAAAATAATTCAGAGAGAATTCTGTTTTATGGGAAGTTTTTTATATGTGCTTATAAGAACAGATGCTTTAACTTCTACAAAATACATGAAGTTTTTATAATGGGATATACATATTTCACTGAGTATAATGAAATGGTTATAATTATTGGGTAATTTGACTAAATACACTAAACTCAAAATTTAGGTCTTAAGTCATTTTGTCTGAATAATCGACTCACCTTACTGATCAAATTAACTGGATAATTGCTAAATTTATAAGAGAAAAAAATCTCTTATAAGAGATAAAGTATTTTTTCATTAAGTAATTAATTTTTATAAGTAAGCAGTTGGTAATTTTACAAAAAGATGCGTGAAACTCATTGAACTGTGCTTTTTAAAGTGCAGATACTATAAGTACACTTTCCCTGTTGTCAACTCTCCCTACCCTGCAGACACTCATGAAAGAAAAAATAGAGTATTAAAGTCTTGGAAAAATACTTTCTACATATAACACCTTTTTTGGTGTTTTAAACTTATTGTTTTTATTATGTTATGCATTTTGTATGAGCAAAAATGTCAATTCCCTGTTGCTGACATTCTTATTTTCATTTGTGTATAGACRCCTGGGAAATCTYGTAACTGTATTGTCCAGGCAGCACATGCAGTGGCTCTGGGACATCAGTGGAAGAAAGCCCTTTTGGATAGGCAAGTATCTGTTATGCTGAAGAGGGAGGCAGAACACAAAGAGAATAGGTACCAACACCTCCTGCTCCCTTCTAGCAACCAAGTAATCGTAGTCTGCAATAACGGGCAATGATTAGATGATTAGTCTAATCATCTGTCTTTTGAAACTAGCAGTTCCTAGCACCAAAAACTAAACCTTGTCTTAAGCCTTTTGACACAATACTTCATTTTCAGACATCTGTTCCAAGAAATAATTAGGGATGTGGTCAGATTGATAGCTAGGAGAATATATTACAATAATATTTCTAAACTTTAAAAATTAAAATTATTTGTAAATAGGGAATGGCTAAATTATAATATGGTCATATGAAGGCACACTTACTTAATATTGAAATAAAATATATTTAATGCTTTTATAAGGTTTTAACTATTAAAGGCATGACAAAATGCCTTATGCTTGTTTATTAATTGATTCAACAAAGATATGTTGGCTACATACTATATGTAAAATATGTAATGCTTTGCATTTGTGACGAGGTGGTGAATAAAAAAAATCAAAGTCCACAGCCATAAGAATGAATAATTTAGAATAAAAAAGAAATTCATATGCATAAGGTATATGTATAAATATAGAGAAATATATGCTAAAGAATTTGAAATGATTTACCTCTACTCAAGAACTATAGATGCTTTTACTTTTATTCCTTGGTTTCTGAAGTTTTTAAAATATTTTCTACAATTTTTTTTAAAGTTGTTGATGGATCTTTATTTTATTCATTTGTTTATATGTGGTGCTGAGAATSGAACCCAGTGCCTCACACATGGTAGTCAATTGCACTGCCACTGATTCACACCCCCAGCCCTATTTTCTATAATCTTGACAACAATAACAAGTTCTTTATAAGCTACTTTAGGAAATAGAATTCTCAGGGCACATCAAAGTCAGTATTCTTAACTGCTCCTTAGAGGCACTGTATTTGAGGGAATTATGGTAAATCCAGTCTTGGCTTCTCAAAATTTCTGTAATACTTAGTGGGTCTTTAAATTCAGAAATGAATTGAGAGTATTAAGAGTTGCAACATAAGTTTTATCTACATCCTTAACCATGCTTTTTAAGACTTTGTGCTCACAAAGTACTTAGGCATAGTATTATTATCTGATCATTAACTCAAGGAAGCAATCTACATGAACATAGGGTATTTCTAAACAAAAACATWTCAGTTGATTTCACCCAAAAATATTGGCTAAAAATCAGTTGGGAAAGATAACATGCTCTGTAACTGGGACTGTTGTCAGGGTCAAATTTGAGTTGGAAAATGTTAGATCATGCTATTAAAATGGATTCCTTCAGTTTTTTTCTTTTGTTATTTCTATAATGAATGAGAGTGAGGGGGAAGAATACTTCTTTAAGAAAATATTACAGAAGCTGTACAACATTAAAATGCAATTTGCACCAATTGCCAGTAGGAATAGAGAGGCAAGAAGAGAAAACCGGTTTTTTTTTATTGGAATTGTAGCAGATTGAAACATCTTAAGCTCCAGACTAAAAATAATACTTCATAAGCTACTTTCAAATATGAAAACCAAGACATTTAAGTAAAGTAGAAGAAGAACAAGGAGCAAGAAAATACCTATAGCCCTGTGATAAGAGTTCTATGTGTAGAATGATACACATCCTGACACTGGCTGACGTTTATTAAACACATATGTGGAGAGTTCTATATACATTATTTTATTTAATCCTCCAAACAGCCCTACATGTATTTTCATACCCATTCCTTAGACGACAAAAAGGAAACTCAGTGGCATAAGTAACCTGCCCAAAGAGGCTTAGCTAGCAAGTGGTGGAGCTAGAATCGGGACTCAAATTTGTCTGATTCCAAAGTCTTACACTATTGTGTCTTATAGTATTCCTAGTTCCTATTCTTTGTTTTAGAACCTGGACCCACATTGGCATGTCATAACTGTGGTTAGAACAATAGACTAGAAGGCTATCTAAGTGTAAATGTAATAAAATTGTTTGGCACATTCTTTTGGCTCACATTAGGTTTGAATGACCAAGCACACGCTGGCCACTGGGAATGGATTGGAGGCGAACCTGTCACCTTCACCAACTGGAAGAGAGAGCCCCCTCAATACTCAAAGCCTGGAAAGAACTGTGTTTTGGTTCAAAGAGGAGGGAAATGGCAAACAAAGAACTGTATGAAGGGCAAACCTCAAAATTTCATGTGCTCCAGGAAACTCTAAATGTAACTAGCTCTACAGAAGCCACCAGAGATTTCTCATCTATTTATTTATAGGATTTCTGAAGATTACTCAATGGAGACAAATTGTCTTGACTGAGTGTGTACATCTTTGTGATTCTATCCAGTAAAAATAATAGTACCTAGGTTAGTATTTCAGGAAGATTGATAAAATGAATACTTCTTACAGGATGAAATACAATTTTTGTATTTCAGTACCTTTTAAAATAAATGCCTGCAGTATTATGAGGTGTAAGATTTGCTTATTCCAGAAGACCTGCTCCCTCCCCCTATTCCATTTCTTAAGCAGTGCCCATGTTCATGGTCCTTAGATATTTTTATCCTCATTATATCAAGTGAGTCTATTCTGCAGCCTCGATGACAGGTGCTCCTAGCACTTCAGTCAGAGGAACGACCCATTCATTCATTAAGTCAACATTGAATTGCAAAGGGTGGGTTTATCCCTTTGGGGACCTTTCAGTGTGAAACCTAAAATTAGAAACTGTGGATGTAAAAAAATTCTCTTTTAGTTGGAAGAATCTTGCAGATGGAGGTTCAACTTCAAAGGTATAGTTCAGATGAGAATTCAGGGAGCTATCTGTACTTTAGAGACCTACCCATCGCTACTCAGGAAACTCCTTTTCCAGATTGAATGTTGGCATTGTGCCATTCCAAAGCTAAAGACTGGGTTTCCCCAGGCTTCCAGAGTCATATGAAATTTGCAGTCACGTAATCTCTTCRTCTTTGTTGGTGTTTATTGTACCAACTAGTGTTTCTCAAGGACATTTGGAATAAGGAGTATCTATGAGTGATGTTTGACATTTGGAAGAAAAATAATGCTTCCTCAGAAGTGTTCCCATGAACTATGCTGACAAACAAAGAAAAGTAATATTGGAAACAGAGCCTTTGAAAGCTTATATTCTCAGAAAAGATTTCGATGCAATTTTAGCCCTTAAATCTTTAATATTTTTAGAAATGCTGTGTTAACTAGACTCTCTAATGGAAAAGTACCTTATTAATTTATAAACTCAGCTGAGTGAAACATTTTCATAGCAATGAACACATTGTAACCTTCACAGAACTCCCTTCTGAAATCAAGGCTTAATTATAGGGAAATTAGAACTTTATTTGTGAAATGTTTATTAAAATTTTTGTTTTCACAATCACTGAAAAATATGGTTGTGCCAAATGTAACTTGCTATCTGAGCACCAGTGTAACTTCAGAATTAAAATGGATTCTGAAAGACCAGAGTGCTTTTCTATGATAATAACTTGAGTGTTGTAGACACTAAAAATGGTTTAAGAAAGTTATTCCAGTTTCTGGATATGAAAACATGACAGATTTGTTTTATTTCTGTTCATTTATCAAAGTCTTGACTAATGGAAAATTTTACATAGAGAGGTTATGATAAGACTCAGACRTTCTGTCTCTTAGTTAAATCTCCATGTGATTTCAGAGTAAGGGAAGGGAGCTCCTTACATTAGATGGCTGATTCCTATATGCACAGGACATAAGCATCCTCTGTGTTTAACCCAAATACGCCAAACCCATCCTCCATACCAGCTCTAGCCAATTCCTTGTGATTCACTGCCCTCTGCAGAGTGGAAAGGTGGGATTCCTGGGAAAAAACAGAAAGGTTAAATCCTAGGGAAAAAGTAAAAGTTCCGAGAATAAGGAATTTAAGGGCTATTACTTCCTACTAGAAATCTAAAAGTGTATAAACTATTTAAAACTGGAAGTCTAGAACTATAACAACTGTGTGGAAACTGAGTAATAAATTTGGCATGATAAATTTATTACTCTTTTCTGCATTGACAATGACACAATTGCAAATGTTATCATAAAGGAGATTGGTTTGATTTTTATAAAAACTAGACATATTAGAGTGGAGGAATGGAGGTTATAAAAGAGAAAGAGAGTGGCTGAGCAGAAGGGTCATGTAGGAAAGGGTGATGATGATGGGAGCTATGAAAAAGAATGGCAGGGAGGAGGACCTGAGTGTCACCAGCTCTCCTCCCCACACCTGAACACTGACTCTGGGAAAGTTCCCCTGTATCCAAGGGCATTAACCCAGCACAGCAGCGTGTCACTTTCCAGAATCTTGTTGATATGGGTCTTTAATACAGAACATATAATTTGCTAAAAATACATTTTAAAGGCATATGATAATCATTTCCTCTCTTTCCAAGGAGTGGTAAAAATAAACCAGGTGACATTTGTTTGTATTTCTGTTTTTGTTTATTTTAATACAGCCCAAAAGCTATGTACCTATTTTAATGAACACTATGGTTCTGTGTAATTTTAAGCCATAAATTGGTGTTGATTTCTGCAACAAAGCTGCATATTAAATGTACTCTATCTAGTATTGTATCAACATTTTAAAAAATAAATTTATTTCTAGTTCTCAGGTATTGTTCCTTTAGTTTTGACATTTTATATTTTTTTTCCCAGGGGCATATGGGTTTTTGTTTTTTTTAAATCTCAATGAGTCTGTCTATTATAAGAAGGAATGGGTAGAAAGCTTAGTATGTCTCTTGTGTTTACTGTTTAGAGCAGCTTCTAGTTATATGACTTCCATTCGTCCATATACCTATCATTCAYTCAACAAATATTCAATAAGTGTCAACTCTGCAACTGGCATTGTTCTATATAAAGATATGGTAGTGAATGGGATAGGAAACCGAAAGCATAAAAGCTTGGCAATTATATGCAAATTTCTAATAGMTTTTTTTTTTTAAGCCTTAAGCTTTTTATCAGGGAGAAACTCAGTGAAAATCATTGATTACATTATCACTTTTTAGAATCGGAGGGAAGCACACTCAGATACATCAGCTTAGGGTGACTTTTGCGATATTTCTCTCCTGATTAGGGAACTGRTGCTGACTTCCTGAGTTTATAATCAGGTCAAAGTGTTATTGATAGCAGTTGTCCCAAATTTCCTGTCTCCAGGATTGTTAGGATATGAGGGGTTCAGATGTAGTTAATTGATTTTGTATCACTTTTTGGGGGGGGGTGAAATGACAAACAGTATGTATCTCTGTACCTTAGAGATTTCTGGGGCAACAGAAATTAAAGGGAGAGATCTATGACATCATCTCATCTAGAGATGAGAAGACTGAGATCCTCAGAAGAAATCAGTACTTACAACCAAGGTCTTCCTAATGCTAGGCTGCATCTCTCCCCCTGTTCCACATAGTATCCTATCCTTAGCAGATGGTTTTATTATATTTCAGTAAAACACCTTTGAATGATAAGTATGATAATATTTACCTTATACTTGAAAACACTATTGTAAGTGAAAGTAGACCCCAAACCATATAATATATGAATCCATTTATATCAAATGTCCAGAAGAGGCAAATCTATAAAGATGAAATAGATTAGTGGAAGAACTGGGGAACTGGGACACACTATTAATAGGTACAGGGTTTCTTTTTGAGAATGTGGAGTTAGGTGATGATGATAGTTGGATAACATAGTAAATATACTAAAAGCCATTAAAGTGAACACTTTAAATTGGTTTATTTTGTGTTACGCAGTGTATCTCAATAAAACATACTGTTAAAAATCACCAAATAAAATTTATTTCAAAAACTACAAATGGGATGATGTATTTGCTGTGTGTTTATCTGACTCATCCAAGATACGTTTTGCAATTTTTTCCCTATGTCTCACCCATATTTTTGTTTATTTATTYATTTATTTATTTGTGTGTGTGTTGGTTAAGGAGAGGGAATGCTGATTTGACATATTTTTAAAYTTACAGCACTGCTTTATTGATCTCCCTCTCCTTTCTCCCCATCAATCATGGAAAAGAAATGTTACTAATGGCAGAGAGTGCCTGGATGTCTGTAATATACAGAACACCATGATTTCTTAAAATTAACTTTACAAGCCTTTAGAGCAGGATCATGCAGGAAATGAATATACTATCCTCATAACATACACATATAACTGTTCATTTTGAGCAGTTTTTATAGGCCTTATACTCTGCTAGKCAATAAAGTTCAGTTTATCTTAAGACAGAAAGGAACAAAAATCAACCAACACTTCCATTAAAGGCCTCATGGTAACCTGCAACACTTTTTCCAAGCAATGATGTATGAATTCACCTTTTGCTTCTATCTCCATCTGTATTTTTCCTTTCCAAAAGCAATAAATCTCAACTTACCTGACAAGGAAAAAAAATGTTCACACTCAAYTGTATGCTGTCCATAAGAAATATACTTTAAATGTAAATATGCAATACATTTAAAGTAAAAGAAAGGAGGAATTAGAAGGGAGACCAGTATGGTAGAGGAAGACAATCTGGGAAGGGAAGAGGGGAAGGTACTAGACAGTGAAACTGAACAAATTATGTTTTTATGTATGCRCAAATGTGACACRATGAAGCCATTCTATAGAATATTCACCAAAAAAGATGATGAAAAAAGATATGATACCTTAAACCTAGTCAAAATTCAAGCAGCTATAGTAATATTAGAGTAGATTTTAGATGAATGAACATTGCCAAGAATAAATAAAGGCACTTTAGAATGTCATCAATACATTAAGAAAATCTAATTATCCAAAACATATATGCATCTAATMACAAAGTTTAAAAATAAATGAAGAAAAGCTAGTAGAATGGAAAAGAGAAATAGATCAATCTATACTCATAGTCAGAAATGTTAATACCCCTTTTTCAGTAACTGTCGGAATAAATAGCTAGAAAATCAGAAGGATATAGAAGTGTGGGCACTATTAACCAAAGTAACACGAATGAAATATATAGAACACTTTACCCAACAACAGCAGAATGTATCTTCTTTTCCAGGGCACATGACACATTTACCAGAACAGAACATACTGTAGGACATAAAACAAGTCTTAGTAAGTTTAAAAGGATTCAAGTCATACAAAATGTGTTCTCGGACCATAGTGGAATCAAATTAGAAAGCAATAACAAATATTTCTGAAAGATCCCCAAGTGATTAGACACTAAATTATATTCTTCTTTAACA